TACTTGCAAGAAAGGACTTTCGATTCTCAGTTATAATTATCATATAATTTTAAAAGTAACCACTTCTGGGGGATGAATAGCCGAGGTTTATCATACTTGCTCAATTCATACCCAAACCTGCAAATGCACTGCGCATTCCCAGCTTCTAGAACGACGCCCTCCAAGCAGCTTCCTAAACGCCCTCCCCGAGACCAGATCCCGTTCAGCTGTGGGAAGTCTCCACCACGCTCGGCCCCCGCCCGTGCCCCAGTCCCGCGCGGCCCACCAGGAGGCGGCTTCGGTGTGCGCCACGATTAGGGGTTCCTTCCTTCCAGTGAGGCTGTTGTACACCTGCACGCCCGTCTCCCGGCCCGTGGGCTGCAGCCAGGCCCGCCCGCGTCCCCCGCTCGCCGCCCGGCCCGCAGGCCAGTGCCACCCAGCCGGCCCGAGGCCCAGCGCGGCCTGGAGCAGCAGGGCGCCCAGGCCTCGGCCGCGCGTCCTCAGCATGTCAGCGGCCAGAGCCTACGACTGGGCGGAGACAGGAGCCACACCGGGGACGCGGCCCGGCGCGCAAAAGCAGCACGGCCCCGCCCCGCCCACGCCCTTGGGGCCACGCCCACTCCCGGAAGCGGTCCTCAGGTAGCGCCTGCCTCTGGCCTGGCTCCAGTGGCCCGCCGCCAGGGTGGAGAACCTGGGCCCGAAGGGGTGGGGGCGGGGAAGGCCAGCGGTGGAGGGAGGAGGGCGGTGCCGCGCCGGGAGGCCGTAGGAAGAGGCGGGACCGTGCCGATCTCCTCTCCTTATTAGCCCAGGTCCTGCGAGGAGTCCGTGTGCGCTCCGTACCAGCCTGGACCTGTGTGCGCGGCGCCGGGGGAGCGTTTACAGTGCAAGCTTCTGCTGCCAGGCCCTGGCCTGTTAGCGAAGCACGTGTGCATCCCATCACACCCCAGGTCAACAGGCTAATACACAGTGTCCACCCATAACACACGTGAGCACCCCAATACAGTGTGCACCCCAGCACACACATCTGCACCCCAATACAGTGTGCACCCCAGCACACACATCTGCACCCAATACGGTGTGCACCTCAGCACACATCTGCACCCCAATATAGTGTGCACTACAGCACACTGTCAGCATCCCAACACAGTGCACCCCAATACACAGTGTGCAACCCAGCACAGTCTGCATCCCAGTAAGTGTGCACCCCAATACACAGGATGCACCCCAGCACACACCACGTCAGCATTCCAATGCAGTGTGCACCCCAGCACACACCATGTCTGCACCCCAGTACAGTATACACACCAATACACAGTGTGTACCCCCAATAAACTGTGTACTCTAACACCATGTCTGCACCCCAGTACAGTGTGCACCCCAACACAGCACGTGTGCTTCCCAGCAAACACATCTGCATCCCAATGCAATGTGCACCTCAATATAGTGTGGGCCCCCACACATCTACACCCCAATACAGTGTGCACCCCAATACACAGTGTGTACTCCAACACACACTACACCTGCACTCCAATACACAGCGTGTATCCCCCCCACCACACATAGCATGTCTGCACTTCAACACTCTCCTGGGGTCTCTGGATGAAATGACCAAAGCTAGGAAACTACATTAATCAGATATGTATAGCAGAAATGTCTGCTTGTGATTCATCTTAAGGTTAAAAGTTCCATGATCAGGTATGTTGAGAACAAAAACATTCTGAAAGTTACTCACATTATCTTGACAAATATGCCTCTATTGGGCACGGCGCAGTGGCTCACGCCTGTAATCCCAGCACTTTGGGAGGCTGAGGTGGGCGGATCACCTGAGGTCAGGAGTTCGAGACCAGCCTGACCAATACGGGGAAACCCCTGTCTCTACTAAAAACACACAAATTAGCCGGGCGTGGTGGCGTGCACCTGTAGTTCCAGCTACTGGGGAGGCTGAGACAGGAGAATCGCTTGAAGCCGGGAGGTGGAGGTTGCAGTGAGCTGAGATCACGCCACTGCACTCCAACCTGGGCAACAGAGGGAGACTCCATCTGAAAAAAAAAAAGGTGCCTCTATGGGTGTCTTGCAATACAATGTCTCAAAAAAAGAAAAAGTCCCCTTTGCTTTTCCAGTTGTCAAAACAGGAGAGGTTCCTGCTTTTTATTGTTGTTGTTGTTGTTTTGTTTGTTTTTTTTAGTTTGCTTTGGTGTTTTATTGAAAAGCAAAGGTTTAAGTACAGACAAACAAGTATGTACCTAAAGTAGTTTCCCAATATCCTGGAATCCAACTCTGCAATTCTGTTTCAAGCTAACTGTAGTCTAATGTAATCTATGGTCTAATTTAACAAGGTTAAAATGTTAGAATTAAGAGACCATATTGTCTACATCAATGCTAACCACTCATCTTACCTAACTACTCTAAATCCTCCTGAATAATATCACTTCTTTACTGCTTTGTTATTTTGTAACTTTCTAGTGCTGTGTGTATATTTATCTCCCTGAGTATCTTAAATTGTACGTTATTTTGAACTTCTCACTGTGCCCTGCACTAAGTTCAGAAAAGGACTTGGGTTTTATTTTGTTGTTGTTGTTGTTTTGCTGTGGCTGGAAAAAAAATTTAAAAAGAAAGAAAAGGGCTTGTTGAATGTTGATGAATTAATCCCTTACACAAGGGATTACTTGAGCAGGTGGGAAGAAATCTGAATAGTAAAATACCTGATAAAGCTGATTCAGATATTAGATGTGCCAGTAAACAAAGCAAATTAACAAAAGCTCAGCTGCAATCTGTGAGAACACATGGATTCAAGGAAATAACTGGAGCACAGATTCTGAAAGCAGCTTAGTAACACTGAAGATCAAATCTGCACATGAATCTGGACATCTGGCATATTTCAATTGTTCATAGAACATCATAATTTTTAAATTAACAATAGTATCTTCTGTCTTCATAAAATTCATGTAATGTTTTTAGCCCCTCACTGGCAGTGATTCTATTATGTTTTCTTTCCTTTTTGTTTTTTTGTTTTTTGAGACAGTCTTGCTCTGTCACCAAGGCTGGAGTGCAGTGGCCTGATCTGGGTTCACTGCAACGTCTGCCTCCTGGTTCAAGCAGTCCTCCTGCTTCAGTGTCCACAGTAGCTGAGATTATAAGCGTGCGCCACCCTGCCCAGCTAATTTTTGCATTTTTATTTGTATGTATTTATCTATTTATTTTTGAGACGGAGTCTCGCTCTGTCACCCAGGCTGGAGTGCAGTGGCGCGATCTCGGCTCACTGCAACCTCCACCTCCCAGGTTCAAACAATTCTCCCGCCTCAGACTCCCGAGTGGCTGGGATTACAGCGGCGTGCCACCACACTCGGCTAATTTTTGTATTTTTAGTAGAGACGGGGTTTCACCATGTTGGCCAGGCTGGTATGGGACTCTGGAACTCCTTACCTCAAGTGATCCACCCACCTCAGCCTCCCAAAGTGGTGGGATTACCGGCCTAAGCCACCACACCTGGCCAATTGTTTTTTGTTTTTTTTTTTCTTGGAGTGCAATGGCGTGATCTCCTTGGTTCAAGCGATTCTCCTGCCTCTCTTTCACGCCTCCCGGGTTCAAGCAATTCTCCTGCCTCAGTCTCCCAAGTAGCTGGGATTACAGGCATGTGCCACCACCCCCAGCTAATTTTGTACTTTTAGTACAGATGGGGTTTCTCCGTGTTGGTCAGGCTGGTCTCGAACTCCCGACCCCAGGTGATCCACCCACCTTGGCCTCCCAAAGTGCTGGGATTATAGGCATGAGCCACCGTGCCCGGCAGCCAATTCTGTTTTCTTAAGGCTTTTGGGGATCATCAAAACATGGATAAACATAACTCAATACCTAACGATGGCTAGAAATGTGATCTTTTTGCATATTGAATATTTGCAAGTTGAATATTAAGGTAAAGTAAAATAGATTGCTAATGGTCTTCATTACCATACCTCCCAGCCTACATCTTTCTCCCGTGCTGGGCGCTTCCTGTCCTTGAACATCGGACTCCAAGTTCTTCAGTTTTGGGACTCGGACTGGCTCTCCTTGCTCCTCAGCTTGCGGACAGTCTATTGTGGGACCTTGTGATCATGTAAGTTAGTACTTAATAGACATATATATATATATATATATATCTCCATCCTATTAGTTCTGTCCCTCTAGAGAACCGTGACTAATACACTATATATACCTAAAAAGAGGATCCGTTTAATTGAAGTCACCTCCCTCTCCAATCTAGCTTAGAACAAGGAAGTGTGTTAATGATTCCAAAATATCATTAATGCCATTTCTTAGTCCTTAATGACAACAATAACAAAATCGAGTTCTCGGTATTACATTTTATTTCAAGGCAAAATCTTGTAAATCTGAAGTAGAGTTGATTATGGTAGCATATGGTTTAGGGGTTTTCAAGTTTAAGATAAATGAGTTTGCATTTATTTTTTAAGCACTTTGAAACTTGAAGAATTCTATGCTTGGCCAGGCGTGGGGGCTCACACCTGTAATCCCAGCACTTTGGGAGGCCAAGGTGGGTGGATCACCTGAGGTCAGGAGTTCGAGACCAGCCTGGCCAACATGACGAAACTGCATCTCTACTAAAAATACAAAAATTAGCTAGGCATGGTGTCGGGCACCTGTAATCCCAGCTACTCAGGAGGTTCAGGCAGGAGAATCGCTTGAACCCGGGAGGCAGAGGTTGCAGTGAGCCAAGATCACGCCACTGCACTCCAGCCTGGGTGACAAGAGCAAGACTCCGTCTCAAAAAAAGAAAAAGAATTGTATGTTCATCTCTTATATCTGACTCTCATAGGTTTGAGCTTTTTCAATTAGTCTGGAAATATAATTTTAGAAAAAAATTTAATTTTTATATGTTTATTTTTTAAATCCATTTGAAATTTCTGTTCTACAGAAAAGTTTTAGCATCCATTTTTGCAATACTCCACAGGAAACAAAACTGAAACAGACAAGATTCTACAACGTATCTTCAAAATTAAGCACCTTTCTTCAATGACATTTAAAATTCGTTATCACTGTTAATTATGTCTTACTGCTTGGTCTTCTAAGTTTGTTCCAAAGAAGACAAAATATTTTTGACTTTTTATCCCAAGGGGTGGGCTAAAAGTTTTATGGAATGTAAAGCTCCAAAAAACTTTTTACTACTGTATCCCCAGCACACGGACCAGTAGTTGGCACATGGTAGACATTCGTCAATATTCCTTGTTGAATGCATAAGATGCCTTTTTGGTTTATATGTATGTGAAGAGAATACATAACAAGAGAGGAACAAATTCATTATTCAGATTGTACTGTATTGTGATTTTTTTTAAAAAAACGATAACCTAGGTTAAACTCCATCTTATCTTTGTAAGGGGTAAATTACTTCCAACTTTATTCTTGAGTTCAGATAAACACTATTCATTCTAGAGCCAATGATTACTAGGAATAGAAGAACCGGTCTATTTCTTACTATTGTACTTTTAAATTACTTATATGCTTTTAGAGGGAAAGGCGTAATTTTCCTTATTCAACTTTGTACTCCCTCTATACTCTCTATTCGACATAATGTTTGTTTCCACATAATGTTATCTTGTCGTAGTCTTTTTTTTCTTTTTTTCTGGAGATGAGTCTTGCTCTGTCGCTCAGGCTGAAGTGCAGTGGCGCAATCTCGGCCCACTGCCACCTCCACCTCCTGGGTTCAAGTGATTCTCCTGTCTCAGCCTCCAGAATAGCTAGGACTACAGGCACGCGCCACCATGGCCTGCTAATTTTTTTGTATTTTTAGTAGAGACAGGGTTTCACCATGTTGCCCAAGCTGGTCCCGAACTCCTGAGCTCAGGTAATCCACACCCCGGCCTTCCAAACTGGTAGGATTACAGGCGTGAGCCACCGCGTCCGGCCAAGTGTTACAGTCTTTAGTGCAGACCAAGTAGTGGCCAATAAATCTTGTAGAAACGAAAGTACTCATTTGCTTTTAACTGGGCCAAGACTAGAATCGCGTGATCTGTAAGTAAAATAACAGCCATTTCCCCACATATCGAAGCAAAAGCTCTCCTGATGTGTAGGTGAGATGAAGGGGCTTAAAAGTGAAGATTAAACCCACTTCAAAGTGTAAAGAGTATCCATCCATTTATCATTGCAGCAACGTTCCAACGTGAACAATCCGATTCCAAGTACAAAACAACTCAATTCAGTCTCTTTGCCGTACTCACATCCATAGCACAAAATACCCTGCAGGGCGCTTGAATGAGCACCACTGCAGTTAATAATCTACTCTATAAATACTGGACGAATCCAAATTTTTACTGGATTACACAGAATACTTTTTTTTAAAAAATGCAAATAGTTTTAGATGTCACAACAGGGTTCCATCAAATACCACGTTTCCAAATCTTACCACGAGAATGTGTATCCATTTCAACTGCAGTTATTTTGTGTCTAAATCTGTGCACTCTGCTTTGCAACAGGATAAACCCGGTGGATAAAAGCTGAAATCCGACCCTGTCCAAATTAAAAGGCTAAGAAAAAGTGGAGAAGCGCGCTGGCGTGGAGTTGACACAGAAACACTGCAAGGGCTGGGGACAGGGCTTACTTAGGTTCGTGGAATACACAGGCAGCACCACCAACCCGGCTCTCCGGAAAAGAGAAAGTCCGGTGAGAAAGGTGAAAAATGACAAGGCACCGTTCTCCGACTTGGTGAAAAACACCCAATGCAAACAGACCAGGGTTCAGAGCGGAAGAAAACTAGCGAAAAGCAGGCAGCCAAGCGTGGCGAGCACAGCTCTCGGGTCCACCCCGGAGTGGACCCGCGGCGACTGCAGCCGTGCGGGGGCGAAAGCCGAGGCGGAGGCCGCTTAGGAACCGCAGCGCTCGCGGGCAGTCCACAAAGACGCGAGGCCACGCCCAGGAGGGGCCGGCCCTTTGGCCGGAAGGGGGCGGGGCGGGGCGCGGGGCCGGTCGCCTAGGCAACGGGCTCGCGTGGCGTCCGGGCTTCTCAGAAAGCCCAAAATCCGGGAGCTTCGGGAGGGCGGAGAGGCGATGGGGACCGGGTGCGGGGAGGGGCGGCTGGGGAGCCGAACGGCCTCAGGACGCCGGCCGACCGGATGTGTGCATTCTGTTGGCGGCCTTTCCAAATGTGGGGAGCAGCCTCCGAGAGCGGTGTTCGTGGCAGAGGGCGGGAAGAGATAAGGGCTAGGGAAGGCGCCCCTCGGGCCTATCCACCTCTTATGGGGCTCGGCACTAGGAAGCAGCTTCCCTCTTGTGCCCCTTTGTCTCCAAGCCGTTCCAAACTGAGTACCGGGAGGCGACACAAAGGGAGGGCGGTGACGGATGGCGCAGGCGCGGGAGCCGCCTAGGCTGCTGGGAGTGGTGGTCCCGCCGTGGAATTGGTAGGTCTCCCGCGCACTCCGCGGCCTCAGCTCGGAGGACACCGAGAGGGTGCCAGTGCGCATGCGCCGCCACTTCCGCCCGTGCCCGGCCCTCCTCTTCCTTCCGCCTCCCGGAGGACTTGGGTTTCTAGTAGTAAGTGTCCGGGGGGCATTACTCATGGTCTCCCCGCCTCCTCTTCATCTTGATTGGGCTGTCAAAGTGAGGTTGGGAAGTGGATTGGCTACTGTGGTTGCCAGTTCTGTTTCGGGCCATACTTATACCGCGCTGTGGGGCGGGGACGAAGAGAGTCAGGGGCTGAGGAGCGGGCTCTGTTAGTCGCTGCGTGCCGTGGTCTCGGAGGCTGCTGTCCCGCGGCCCGTTAGGTCCTGGTCGGGTTTTCAGCGAAACAGGCAGCTCCCCTGCGTTTCCCGGCGGGCGTGCTGCGCCGCCCAACGGGCTCTGCCTCCAAGTGCCAAAAACTCCTAGTAAAGTTTGCGCCTCGCCCGCCGTCCCCGCCCCAGCGGCCCTGACGCTGTCCCCTCCGCGACCCTCGCCCCTGGCAGAAGTGACAGGCAAGGCCACGCCCCTTCGCGGGCCGGCCTCGGGCCCGCAGCCCCCGGGGCCCGGGACGGTGAGGGGCGTGAATGCGGCGGGGGGCGGGGCCGTCGCCGGGGGAGGGGGCCGAGGCGCATGCGCGCTGCGCAGCGGGGCTGAATGTTTCCCAAGTGTTTGAAACTGGTATTTGGGTTTTCCACGTTGGACAAGTGCGGCTCGGCGGCCGGCGGAGCGCGCCCCTTCCTGCTGCCCGCTCCGCTCCTCTCTTCTCCCCAGCCCAGTGGGCGGGTGGGCGGCGGCGGCCGCGGCGCTGGGCCCTCTCCCGCCGGTGTGTGCGCGCTCGTACGCGCGGCCCCCAGCGCCAGCCCCGCCGCCTGAGAGGGGGCCTGCGCCGCCGGCCGGGGCGTGCGCCCGGGAGCCACCGCCACCGCGGCCCGCGCCCCCAGGCGCTGGGGTACCCGCGGACCCGGAGGCGGCGGACGGGCTCGGCAGATGTAGCCGCCGGTCCGGAGCAGGAGCCGGCGGGGGGCGCCGGGAGAGCGAGGGCTTTGCATTTTGCAGTGCTATTTTTTCAGGGGGGCGGGGGGTGGAGGAAGCGGAAAGCCGCGCCGAGTCGCCGGGGACCTCCGGGGTGAACCATGTTGAGTCCTGCCAACGGGGAGCAGCTCCACCTGGTGAACTATGTGGAGGACTACCTGGACTCCATCGAGTCCCTGCCTTTCGACTTGCAGAGAAATGTCTCGCTGATGCGGGAGATCGACGCGAAATACCAAGGTACGGCCGGGTGATGGATGGGCGGGGGCGGCCGCCTCCATCCCGGCGGGTCCGGGCGCGCCGCGGAGCCGGCCCGGTCCTGCCGTGGAGCGGAGGAAGCGGCCGGCTCCGCAGCGGCGGCCCTCGGCAGGGGCAGGAACAAAAGGTCTGGAGCGCCTTTGATTCTCCAAGGTCCTTGTGTGCAAAGCCCGGGACACGGAGGAGGAAGGAGGCGCGAGAGGTCTCGCTGCAAGGCTGCGCGACCAAAGCGCTCTTTGTAGTGAAGTGATGAGGCGGGTGCTGCGGGGGAGGGGGCGGCGGGTCCAAGCCGCGTCCTCTAGGAGGGGGTGCAGATTACGGCGCGAGATGGAGGGATGTGCCGGCGCCTGGGGCTGTAGGACGCCGAGATGTGGCTGCAGGAGGAGGGCGGCTGTGGGCCGGGGTTCCCGCGGACCCGGTGCCTCGGTCCGGAGCAACGCCGCTCCCCTGGCCCTTGTTCGCCGCCCCCCACCCAGTCCCCAATCCGAGTGTTACATAAAGTACCGGGTAGTACTCCGTTCGGGGTAGCTCGGTCGCCCCCGCCCAGTCCCCTCCGGCCCTCACTTGGCACTGGACACCGAGTAAGGGCCGACTGCGAGGGGCGACGCCGCCGGTTGTAGTTTGCGAAGGACGAGGGTTTTTCTCTGTGTGCCGTGGGGAAGGGAAGGGGAGGAGCGGAGGCGGGGAAGGCGCCCATCTGCGCAGCGCTGCGCTCGGGGGGGCGCGGGCAGATCGCTGGTTTGGAGAGGATTGTGGCAGATGAGAGGACCTGTGGGTCGTTCTCTGCAGACCTGGCCGCCCAGGGTGTCAGAGAGAGGTGGCGAGTTCGTGTGCGCCGGGAATTGTTGGCTGTTGGGGAAAGTTTTCTGCGAGGTCAGTCAAGGCTTTGGGGGCTCTGTTTTGAATGTGGATCACCACTCCGAGTTTACTAATGTTTACAAAGCTACGCAGTCGGGAAACGGAAGAGTTAAGTGGGGGCAAAAAAAAAATCCATCGCCATCCCCGAAAGCACCAGATACCCCTACCGGGAAGGCGCCCCTGCGCGCTCTATCCAAGACGTAGCTTCGCAGCTTCTTTTATAGGAATCTCATTAGCATATTGTGGAACGTCCCGCCTCAGCCTTCCGGTGGTTGGCTGTGACGTCCTTCGTGGAATGTCCTTATCATTCCCCTGCGGAACGATTGGTGGCTGAGGCGGATGAAGGCGGGTGTAGCGCAATAACTGGCATGGGTCTGTGTTTCCGCTGTCTTCTTTTTTCTTTTTCGGGGAGGAGCGGGGTGGAGTGTGGTTGATTTGAACGTCTTCGGGTCGCTCGGCCTCCAGCCTCGGATTGGGCCTTGTCGCTGCTGGGGCGGGCTGTGCTCTTCCGCCTTGCGGTGTGGTTGGTTCTCCTCCTGGCCTCCGCCCTCCAAATCGGCGATTCCCATATGCGGCGGCTCTCGGGGGGCGCGGCGAGTCTCCCGCTGGCCTCCTCCCCATTGGCTGGAGGGCCGGCTGGTGTCGCCCAGGCCCCTCTCCCCACTCAGCACTGCCAGTTTTGGGCGCGGAGCTATGGCAGTAGCGGGGACCCCAGGGCTGGGGGCTGGGGGCTCGGGGCCGGGGCTGCAGTTCGGGGCGCCTCCCGCGACCCGCGAGACCGGCCCGCAGACAGTCCCAGGCCGCATCTTTGCTGACCCGAGGGAGGGGCCGCGCGTGGCCAGGGAAACGTGAGTGACTGAGGCTGCGTCCACGAGCGGGACCCTCGGCGCGGGAACTTTCCTGGAAGGTGCTGTCCTCGGGGCGGGCGGGCTCCGTGGAGTGACCCTGGGGCTCCGGACGGAAGGGAGGCAGGGGCTGAGACCACTCTGATCGTTCGACGATAGAAAAAAGCGCGAGGCGGGGTGCAGGGTCCCAGCCGTCAAGACAGCAAAGTTCACGGAGCCACTTTGTTCTCCTGTCGTTGCTGGGGAGAGCCTGGCTTGCTGCTTGCTTCAGGTTCACCTAGGACGATGAACTTTTTGGCTTCAGGAAAGATCACAGTCCCGCCCCTGCGGGAGTCCTGGAGCCGTGCAACTGGGAGCGCTGAGAAGCGCGAGAATCTGTCGCGAGGGTCACAGCTCCTTGGACTTCGCTGTAAATGCTGAGCTCTGCCGCGTAGTTCTGAAAGACGAAGCTTGTTTGCACAGACCTACTCTGCAGGAAGTCAGACGTCTTTTGCTGAGTAGGCATCGGTTGTCTGTTAATTCGTAAACATGGATTATAATTAGTTTATCGATTTAAAATGGTGTTTGAGATTGCTTGAATTATTTTTCAAACATTATTATAAAAATACCTACCCACCCCCTGAGAAGTCCGCTTCATAAAGAATTTCAGGGCAACCCTTACGTAAAATTAAAATACATTTAAAATAATTGGACAAACCAATTTAAATGTTGCTACAATCTCGTTTAATCTGTAAATTCCATGTGTTGCTGCTTTCCATGGTAATATTGGTGTGGAGTATGTTTGGAAGAAAGGTAGCAGTGTGTCTGAAGCTGAGTTGCTGGCATTCAAGGAGCAGAGTGTCTGGAAGGATGGCTTCCTATTTCGCAGTGGTGGTGTTCCTGTCTATAAATATTTGTACTTAGTGGTTTTGTTGATAAAATACTTTGTTTGGGGTATCAAAGAAATATTAGGTAACAGAAATACTTCTTGGTAATTTTGCAATGGGATATCTGTTTCTCTTCCCCACAAATTAGGCTTCGTCTGGATGGAAGCTTGCTTGTGATGCAAAATAACCTCTATATTATTAAATTTTAAATTTATATGATAGTTTTCTTTTCCATCAAATGACAATACTGTCTTTAGAACTTTGATTACTGATGAAAAGAAGTGATACCATTTTATAAGCCTAAATCCATTTAAAAATAAATGGTACACACTCATATTTTAACATCTATGATAAATAAGTTGGATAAATTGGTATTACTTGGATACGTTGAACACAGCTATTTATTTTTATAATTAGTGACTATATGAGACTAGGGCATTCCTCCTGGTGGCAGGCAGCCTGCATTGTTCCTCTAGGAAATGTCTTCAGAGCTGTCTTTAGTTTGAGAATATACTCCGGAAAATAGTACCATTTAGAGAAGCTTCAGCGTTGGCCTAACTTCTTATGTTTACTCTGGTGTTAGGTATATATCTTGTAACTATTTGGAGATAAGATCTGGAAAGGGAGGGGGTACCATTTTAGACAATCCCTCCCACTCCCAGCCCCTCCCCATACACTTCCTAGTTTACAAGTAGTATTGTTGGCCTGGCACGGTGGCTCACTCCTGTAATCCCAGCACTTTCCGAGGCTGAGGCAGGCGGATTACGAGGTCGAGAGTTGGGAGACCAGCCTGACCAACATGGAGAAAACCCTGTCTCTACTGAAAATACAAAATTAGCTGGGCGTGGTGTTGCACGCCTGTAATCCCAGCTACTCGGGAGGCTGAGGCAGGAGAATCGCTTGAACCTGGGAGGCCAAGGTTGCAGTGAGCCGAGATCGCGCCATTGCACTCCAGCCTGGGCAACAAGAGCAAAACTCCGTCTCAACAAAAAAAGTAGTATTGTTGCCTTGTTTAAAGAGACTGCAAAAAGGTTTTAGGAGAATAATCTGGTACTGTTTAATTTAATGGTTATTGTTTGAGGAAAAAGAACGCTGGAATTTCTTTGTGAGTAGCCTTTTGGCAAGACTGTTTACCGCCCTTATTTCAACTAGATTTTTTTAACAGCTTTTGTTTCTTGAGAAATTGCCTAATTACACTTTAAAATCATATGCACTGTCCTCTAACATGCCCAAGAAGGTTTATATTTAAATACTGAAGAGGTTTTCTTTTCTTTTTGATGGCATTTTAAAGTCCATTGACTTTAATAGATGTGAAGATGTTTTTGTTTAAGCAGTAGATGCAAAAGTAAAATCTACCAGCTTTGTTTTAAAGCAAGGCTAGTACATTCAGTGCAGTTAAAAAATAATAATAATGACCCATCACAGTTGTGCTCCTGTAGTCCTAGCTACTCAGGAGGCTGAGGTGGGAGGGTCACTTGAGCCTGGGAGGTCGAGGCTGCAGTGAGCCGAGACTGCACCACTGCACTCCAGCCTGGGTGACAGAGACAGACCTTGCCCCTAAAATAATAATAACAACAGTCATAATAATAATAAAGCAAAGCTAGGTTTTTCTGGATTATTGTGGCAGAACTGTTCTTGCTTTCACTAATAC